ACTATCATGTGTTACTCACTGCATTTTATGTTTCACATGCTAGGTAGGTATTTTCTTTTATTATTTGTGTTGTTACAGCACAATTGTAGCATCCAAGAGGATTATACCAGGAAATAAGGGAAACAACTTGGAACATTTTTACACTTGTGAATTGACATTCATTATTCCAAGAAAATGCCCCAGGACTTGGGCATTTCTACAGAGTCACAATATTTTGAACATCTGAGCTTTATGTATAGTGTATATGTGCGTGGAGATTGGATAAGTGTTATATCAAAGTTTCTTACTGCACTTGTATGACTCCAGAAATAAGGATGAGCATGAACAGAACACAAGACACTTGGCCTCAGTGCCCATGGATCCACACCCATGGATTCAGCCAGCCACGGATCAAAAATATTCGGGAAAAACATGGTTGGTTTCACCTGTACCAAACGTGTACAGACTTGTTTCCTTGTTACTATTCCCTAAGCAATACAGTATCATAACTATTTATATGGTACTTACCTTGTCTTTGGTAGTATACGTGATCTAGAGGAGATTTAAAGTTTACCGGAGGATGTGCTTAGGTTATATATAAATATTATACCGTGTTATATCAGGGACTTGTACCTCGTGAATTTTGGTATATGCTGGGGTCCTGGAATCCATCCTGAGCAGATACTGAAAGACAACTCTATTTTTTTTGGAAAAAAACACATTGTAGAAAATAATAGTGTAAAATACAACTAGTGAACATTTTTGTTGCATTAACCTCTATAGTTTTGTTAAGTTACCACATTTTTAAATGCTGGAAGTTAGTTAATAAGCAAGAGACAAAGTCATTGTAGTTTTCCATTTTTTCAAATACAAAAAATATAGTTTAAGTACTTTAACAATGCCCTATTGAAATAATATAGAACCATAGACTATGACAGCTGGAAACTGCTCTGAGCCGTGGAGGGAAGCGTCAAGAATTGACCCATGGCATCGATGAACTGATGACTGTGATATATCTAGGACTATAATCAGTCCTAGTCATCCCATGCATAGGCACTTACAGTTTTGTCATGCTGCTTCCAAGTGAATGGAGAATGGTTATCTACATAAATAATTCCGATTCCCCCAAAGTCCAAAAATATGTGGGCAGAGACGAGTACTGCATTTAGAACTTTCAATATTAAACTGTCTTTCTTGATAGATACTTTAAGATGTAGTTTATACATTACATTGTCGTCCTATTCAGTCTTGGTAAAGTTTATGCTGATTCGATTAGCTAAAACTTTTTTACCTTGTGTTATTTTTCAGTCTTTATATTTCATATTATACTGTTTCTTATATTTGAGTCCCATTATCAGAGAAGTTATTTCTTAAAATAGAAAATTTCAGTTAAGATTTATTTTCACTGCTCTTAATAACTGCGGTAATGCAGCACAATTTATTTAACATGAAGCATATCATTCAGCTTGTTGCTTATAGTGAGAATGCCAACCCTTTGAACCCTCCCAATTTTTTGTGTGTGAAATTGCGATGTTAGTTACACATGAGGAACTAGGATATATTGTTTAATATCTATCACAATATTGATACTTATAGCAAAAATGCAGTCTATATAGTAAGTGTCCTGATTTGACTGTTTTATACATAAGCTAAATTTTTGTTAAAAGACTAAATGAAATTACATGATAATTGTGCTTGTTGTTGCAAATGAGAGGGATTATTTAACTCTATCATATATGGCAGTTATGAGACTTTTAAAAACAAAACCCCCAAGTCTCCCATTTTTAAAACTTTCTATAGAGAAATAGCAACTGGCACTTTAATGACTTTGTTAGCTTACAATATTACCAACATTCAGAATATTCCTGAAATGCGAATTTGATGATAGAATAATGTGGGGGAACTGGAAAGTATTTTATTTCATATTTTAATTTTGCTTTTGGGCTTAAAATTGTTAAAATAATATAAAAATTTTAAGTGATAATTAGTAATTATTCTTTTGAAAGGAATATATTTGATCTCTTTGAGCCATGTTAATTTTACTTTTCTCACAATACTTGAGAGATATAGTCACATTCCAAGGATTACAATATACTTTTAATTATTACTACTATTCTCCATATAAATCACATAAATTAGTGGAATTATGCCTTCTGGTTCAAATTTGTGATAATATTCTATTTTCCTTCATAGATGTGTCTTAATATTTGGCTTGACACATCTATAATCTAGAAGTAATGTCATTTTACTCCAATATATTTATATATTTATTCCATATATAGTTGAAGAACAAAATGCAAAGCAAGCAACATTTTTAGTAATCTTAAAGAATTTTCACATTCACACCAAGAGTTTTTCAGTGATTGTGAAAAAGCTTTTCCTGAAACACAATAATGTATGTAAACAATTATTTCAGAATATGCTCTAGGGCATATTTCATCAGGAAATAATGAGAAATCCTACAAAAATATGTGTGCGATTGTGCAATTATCTGGCCTTTTGATGCAAGTAAATGATAAGCTACTGGTATTCTGCTTCTCTTTCTGGAACCCGAGAGTAGGCAAGTAGCAAGGACAGTTTTGATGGAGAGTTCAAGGTTCTGCTCATGATTTTGAGTCATAATGTTAATTTGGAGATTTAAAAAAATCTATGACAAAATAAAGATTACAGGCTTTAACTTCCTTGGGAGTAGATGTAGGCTACTAGTGACGGGGGTGGGGTAAAATGAAGTCTTTAGAACTATTTTGAGATTCATTTTAGTTAGCTTAGCCCTGGCTTCTTGTGATCTAGTTTTACGTTTTGTAAAATAACGACTTACATGCTGCCATCACACAAGCCCCGCCACCCTACTTGGAGAAGCAGGGGTGTCCCAGCCAGACCCAGTCACTGGTGTGTGTCAGCTTCAGCCCAGTGGCTCTTCAGAAACCATTGTCCATGTCTAAGGAACTGTCACCCCAAGAATTATGTGATGCTGAGGTGAAGGCCACAAAGCCGTGGGCAAATCAATGTCAAAACCTTTCTCAAAATTCATCTCATTTGGTAAGAATAATGAAATTGACACCATTGAAGCCTGCTTCTATTACAAATTAAGATAGTTTTGCATACAACTGACTACAGTTCATTCAACAGGTACAAAGCTCAAAGCAGATGCCCAGGTGTGTGTCCAGGAGAGCCCATGTGTGCCCAGGAGTGTGCGAATGTTACCTTGGAGTACCTGTAGTTACCCAGGAGTGCCCGCATGTACCCAGGAGGGCCCACACCACTAGTCGAAGGCGGAGCCAGCATCTGCACATTTCCACATGGCATATGGCTTTCTGTAGATGCAGTTCGCATTTCTCTATGACTCTATCTCAGTTTCTGATTCCTCACACACAGAATTTTGCTTTCTATACTCCTTTTGGCCTTCTATATGTTGTCAAGTAATGAATACATTTATATTACATTTCTCAAGCTCTCCATGGAACCATCCTCTGTTGTAGGAATGGTCACCATTTATTGTCTCTGAAGTCAACATGTTTAATGCAAGGATGTGTCATTGTTTAATCCACATAAACCATGAAGTTAGGGATTGACAGTGGCTATCTACTTTGCTGAATTTAAACAAAGTGAAACATTTTATAATTTGGTGCTGAAATTGTGATTAAAACACTTAACCATAAGTTGTAAATATGTATCTCTTGGGTTATTAGTCTATATACAATAGAAGATACATATTTACTTCATTTTTCAAGTGGGTGCTAGCAATTTCTATCAAGTCTGACAGGGCATATTTAGTAATTGCAGTGGAAAAATTTGTCAACAGATGCCTTTATGTACTCCTTGTAAGAGATAAAACAATAGCCAAGTCAATCAAATAAACCAACATTTCCATTAACTCTTATACCACTGGAGCCTCTTGGCAGAAGTTTTAATACATCAGATACCAAAAATGTTTTACACACACACACATACACACACACACACACACACACACACACACACACACATACACACACCCCTATAACATAAAGATCTAAGCACTTGTATAAGTTGAGTGGTCTGAGAAATTGGCAAAAGTTAGTCTAGAAAATAAACTTAGATTTCATATAACATAGGTATAAGCTTTCAAATAGTGTACCCTACACATGACTGTACCCTTAGCTGTTTTTCTCCCTTCTTCATTTGTGAAAATGCAGAAATTAAAGGGAAGGCTTTGAAGTTAGGCTGCTTGTGATGGATTCTAACTTAGAATAACTCATACTTTATTGAAGGCTGCCTTTCCTGTTCTCTAAACAGTCACAACTGCTATTTAGGAGAGTCATAAAAGCTTAGGTGGAATACATTATTCTTTACATATTATAAATTAAAAGGCTAAAAATTATTTATCTAATTTTCAAAACTTATGAATTCCTTATATTTCATGGTTCAGACTTGGTCATCAGAATCAGAAAGCTAATCTTTTCTCTTAGGAAGTTCATTTTTAGGACTAGCAAATATTCATGAGAAGCTAGAGGTAGCAATTAATGATTTAACAAGAATGCCTCAAAAATATAGATGATTATCAATTAGAACAATTTTTAGGTGACTGCTCTTCTCTGAGGATGTTAAGTGGTTGTGTGCACTCATGTAAGCATGTGCATATATGTGTGATGTGTTCAGTATGCATATTTGTTTTCCCTATATATGTACATGCAAAAAACAGGTGACTAAATTGAAAACATATTTTCACAATGATACTTAGCTTAACATAATTATTTATGAGGGAAATTGAAAGCACTCCACATCAGATTAAGAAATAGGATGCTTATCTTTCGTTACTAACATGTATGTTCGCCATTCTGTGTAATTTGAATCATGTTCATCTTTAGTTAACAGTAAACAGTTGCTGGTATCGTATATCCTGCATTTCGTTTAATTTATTAATCATGTGTTACCTCCGAATTCCATTTGGTTGAAGTCATTTCAAAGCATTGAAATGTAACCGCTCGTTCCGCACAGGTGCTTCGCGTGTGTTAATGGGCTTCCGTTGTGTGTTTTTGCAGCAAGCTTAGTAGTGGAGGAGCGAACGAGACAGATGAAAATCAAAGTGCATCGATTTAAGCAGACAACAGGGTCTGGTTCTAGTCAAGAACTTGATCGCGAGCAATATTCCAAGGTAAAATTAGATGTATCCAACCAATAGTTTCCCTTTAAAATTGTACACCGTAACAAGCAGTATTAGCAGCACCGAGTCATATGAGAGAAGTCATCATGAAATGATAGTCTTGTATTATTTCTACCAAAGCCTCAAAAAACTCTTTTTGATATTTTCACAAGATACTTTATTGAAAAATTATTTATTAACCTGGATTTAATTTTTCCTGAAAACAAAATATGTAAATAGTTGATATTAAAATCACTTCATGATTGATTAACTTTAGTTCAATTCATATAAATAAGCAAGATATACAAAGCCATCTTGTTGCTTGAACATTATTTAAGTATTGCATTTAAAGTATTAAGATGTATATTTATAGTCTTACGTACTATTTTGGGTTGATACTGACTATTGATACTTGGTCATGAATGACAAAAATGATTTGATGTGAGAGTTCTTAATGATTTGTCATTAGTAAGAAAAGTAATTTCAAACTTTTAGAAGCTAAAATTTGTACCGTTTTAATTATCAGTTTGCATTTAATTTATATTTCAGTTTTAGTTTCTAAGGGAACACTAAGGAGTTACAAACTGCATATATTGAATAATTTCATTAAAATAGCATAGAATTTTATATTTCATGAGGTGATTTGCATATGTTATCTGGTTTATTTAAAACCTCTTTTTATAATAATACTGGAAAAGTAGCAACAGCCATTGCAGATTAACCTTCATTATAATTTGATATCAAAAAGCTCTTTTGGAAATAATGACCTACCAAACATCAAAAGTATATGAAACTACACTAAATTAATATTGTTAGCTTGAAATATGAACCTAGAAAAACCCACTTATTTTTAAGCAATGGAGGGGGCTCACTATAAAGCCCGATATTCAGGGACTAACAAAGAAAATTAAAGTGGCTACAAAATATGAAATATCACCCGAGTCACAAAAGTCACACTTGCTGAATGCAGTGTGTCATTTTACATGTCTGGTTCGATGAAGAAGGGTTTCCTTTAGAGACGAGGGAGAAGGTTCCTGGGATTTGGGGAAAAACTCCATTAGAGTCTGAAACAACCTTTTAAAAAGTAAATCAGTAAAGCAAAAAGGGAACAAAAAATGTGTGTCCCTAAAGTTGCGGGTCCTGGACTTCGTGGGGTCCTTTTCGCAGCTTGTCCTTCTGGTGTGGTCACCTAGTCAGCTTGCGTGTCTGTCTCTCGTGGGCCCATCATCACTTCTATTCCTTCTACTACAAATGCAGTGAATCTGAGGCAGGGCAATTCAGGGCTCTTCCTTTTATTGTCCCTCTACAGTTGGATGCAGTTATTTGAAGGGCTCTTTACCCTGGAAATGCTTTCTCCACGCTAGAAACACCTTATTGATTTCTTAGCTTTGTGTCAAAGCATGAGGTCGAGTGGAGCATCACTGAGAAGCAGAACCAGGGAAAGGTCAGGGAGGGTAAGGAGAGGCTTAGGGTAAATACTGAAGGCCTTTCTGAATAATTCCAAACCAGGTCTCTTATCATCAGTCAGTCAAATCTATCTACCAAGGAAGGGCTCAGTGTTCTAAACCATCATGGATACTGTTGTCAGAGTAAGCCAAAGGCAGGCTTGTCATGTCTGGTGGATTCCAAGTTCTCTGGCTCACAGCATTTAAACCTTGAAAACACCTCACAGTAATCTTCCACTCTGGTTTACTTAAAACTGTGGCCCAGAGCAAAGAGGCGATTTGTCAAAATCTGTATCCAAGTCAGTGGAGCCACCTGTGGGATGAGGTGATCTGGAACACCTGAGTGGGATCTGGGTGCCCTCAACTCTGCTTCTCCGGTCCTTGAAGTGTATCTGCAGCTCCAGCTGGATGCAGAGTTTTGCTATGGCTTTAATTTACACAGGACTAGATCACCATGCTCTGTCTTTTCTCCAAGGGCACTATTTTCTTATTCTCTCTTGTATTGCATTAAAATATTTTAAAAATCTGTTACTTTCAGATAGATTACTATTGCTTTTACTCAATAGATACTACTACATTACTATAAAAATTATAATTGCTTATAATATCAATAAATGTGAGACCAAAAATATAGTAGCTTTGAAAACATGGAATGGACTAACGCTTGCAGTACAACTTTTAAATAATTTTCTGTAGTCATTTCAGTTCATTCAGACCTCTCTCATATCCTTGAGAAATTCTCTCTTCGTTTTTCATCCTTTTACACTAAGTATTTTATAGTTTGTTCTACAAAGATCTATTTTCTTTCTGCAATTGAGAGCCAATATTTCATAAATTTAATATAGATTAAATTTTGAACTTTAATCCATTTGACACTTTTGAATGAAGCAGTACACCTTAGTTAAAAATTCTGCCAAGACAGAAACTAGTTAACTGTTCCCCAATACTTTTAACCAACTACCAGGAGAACTGAATTCTTCTCAGGGCAAAACTTTATTAGACAAGTATAATTCCTAAGATGCTGTTTGAAACCTGGCATCTCCTTAAAAAGATTAAATGGCCCTAATGTCCGTCCTGAGTAAGGAATTAGCACTAACTCTGCTTTAGAACAAACACAGAACAGCTTTGGTATCCCGGAGCTATGTCACTGTGCCATTCCTTCACTGATGTTCCGCAGAGCTGCATGCCTTTGTGAAGTTCATGGGGAGGTGAGCTCACACGGAGGTTCTCTTTCTGCAGAGTGCTGCTGTTTCTGTAGCCCAGGACAGAGCCCGGGTCCACGTGGTGGGTTTTTTAGGTAGTTGTGGAGTGTTTATTATTCATTTCTGAAAATAGCAGCCCTATAATTAGAGCCTCCCCTCCCACCAAGGACTTACTTTCCTGCTGTATGATCAGGATAAATTCCTCCCGGGGATACTCTGTTCCTTGAAATATAACTAATGTGTTTCCATTAAAATATTACATTGTAAATAGAAAATTTAACAGATCTTGCCTGAAGAAGAGTCAAAGTGATTACATTCTTAACATATTTCTAAAAAAAGTAATGTAACAGTAAAAAGTGAATATAAGAAGTAGTTCATTTCTTCAAACATCCCATGTGAAGAAGACTGTGATATGGTGCCAGAGTGACAGATTGTTCTTTATGCTCCTCTGGAAAAATGTATTACAACCCCCAAATTTTTTAAACCCCTGGTTTTGTCACTTGCTGGATTGCAGAAGTCTATGTACCAAAAGGCTGAGTGAAGATGTCTGAGGAAAGGGAGTTTCCTTTAAGTTGGGACACTCATGCACACTCACTACCTCACATTCCTTCTACATGGCTTTGCGCTGGCGGCCCCAGGAAGGGCAGCACTTGTTCTGGGAGTAAAAACAGAAAGCCTACAGTTGCATGAATTTTAGGTGTTAGATCCTAGTTATTTCATATTCTTTCATGGACAAGCTGTCATTCCCATACATTTGGAAACATTGTAATAATTACATAGTCTATCTCTGCGAGCACAGTGGTTTCAAAAACCAATAACTAGGCGTTATGCTTGTAACCTGGCAACACTGCTAAACTCAGGTTCTGCTTTGTGAACATATTAAGTGTTTGCACATCTACTCTGTAAATTAAAAACAGTTCTGATTGAATGAATTATGTCCATCAGAATCATGATATTAAATATGACAGAATTTGCTGGTAGGGCATAGTATTGCTTTTACTGAATAGATACTACTACATTACTATAAAAATTATAAATTTTTTCATACATCATCTTACATCATATTAATTTTAGATCAAATATAAAGTCATATAAATAGCTTGGTTCTGGATATAATAACATATATGAATTTCCTTCTGATTATAACAGTATCTGGCTTTCAAAGATAAGTCACACAATCATGAAAAATCATTTGGAAAAATGACTTTATAAATATTCTATATACTGGGAATTGTTTTTACCTCCAATATGAAATTCTTTGACCAACATGTACATGTTGGAAATGAAGAATGAAAACTAACATGTAAGTGTTTTAGGCCTAATCTACTCACGTGAAGGGTTGCTAAGGAAATATGAGTCTCTTCTCTAGGATCATTTTAAAAATATAATGGTCCGATCCTTTTCTTGGTACATATAGGTCTAGAGTTAATATCGGTTAATTTAGTATACTTTAACATGACAGTTGGGTTCACAAAAACTCCCCCAATGGAAGCATCAGAAGATGGGAGGCATTTTCTATAAGTTAAACAAACATTTGATATTTTATACCCATGTAAATCAATTTCAAAATGAAATTTCTTGGTAAGAAAAGAAAATTCCCAAGTGTTATCTATATAAAAAATTATAGTATCTGACCTTCCAGGACCTAAGAGAACCACATACATTTTAGATATTCTAAAATCATTTATAATTATATAAGTTATAATTATATATTATAATTATATAAGCCAACCACTTATTACAATTATAACATATATTATAATATGGCTTATATTATATATAGTAGGTAATACATATGCTGTTCACTGTGTGGTCTGTTGCAGTAAGACGGTGCAGTAAAAAGAAGTGTCCTTAAGTAGCTTTGAAAGCTTTGCATGTTTTAATCTTTCACCCAATGGTTCCTCAAATTTAGGAGAATTAACATGAAAGACTTTTTAAAACACCTTTAAATATAAGACCTAATGTATATTGAAATTTTAATAGGAATTGCACATTTTACTTTTGACACTAAGTTAATAGTTTAAATATGAAACTGTCAAATGAAACTATGGCAGAAAGTCAGGTCAAATCCAGCCATTGCCTCTGCTACTCAGTTAATTTTTAAGTATTTTTTGTGAAAAGTTATGTTTTTTTGAAGAAATTTGAGTGACAGAGGATAATGTCTTCAAAAATATGTAAGTAAATTGAATAGTGTTAGGAATAATTAGCAAGTGTAGACAGGTGAAGCAGTCTATACAGGTCAAGTATTCCTTACCTGAATTACCTGAAATGCCTGGACTAGATGATTTTGGATTTTGAATTTTTCTGGACTTTGAATAGTTGTACACAAATTACATTTACCAGTTGAGCATCCTAACCTGAGCATTGAAATATGAAGCCAGGGAGTGGTTCTTCTGAGCATCTTGTCATTGTTCAAAAGTTCAGGATTTTGGAGCATTTCAGATTTTAGATTTTTCAGATTAGGAATACCCAGCCTTGCCATAACTAGACTAGAAGGTGAATAAAACAAACAATAATGAAAACAGAAGCAAGAAAAGAGAAACTGATTGCTAGAACATATGAATTACATGATTTTTGGTGCTAAATATGAACAAATAATTCACCGGAATTTTTATTTGGATATTTACTTTTTGTGTCTAATTTACAATTCAGTCTTTATAAGCCATCTTCCCATCCCAAGGAGGTGATGGTGTTGTGTTGGATGCCATCTGTTGGGTCTCTTAGTTTCCACTCCTGCTTGTCTGTGGGTGCCCTATGTGGAGTGAGGCTGAGTGGTCATGACCTCACATCTTGTCTCCTCCGCCTCCAAGGATGGAGCTCACACTGTCTTGTTTTCAATCTTTAGTATAACATACATAAAGATCAGTGCAGAAGCTGTGATAACGTCTCTGCCAGATCATCAGATAGTGATGTCAGTGACGTGTCCGCCGTATCCCGAACCAGCAGTGCCTCCCGCCTCAGCAGCACCAGCTTCCTGTCGGAGCAGTCCGAGCGCCCACGGGGCCGACTCAGGTGAGTGGGCCGGCATGTGGAAGCGGGTCTCCATCCATGGTGTAGATGCACACTACACTCTGCATGTTCTTACAATGGGGCAGGTTAGAAGAGCAGCAGCATCTTATGGTGTCTCCTTGCTGGCTGTGTGAGAAGGCAGCAGTGTGTGTGGTGCTGCCTGTGTCAGGTCTGGCTCAGAACTTGGTCATGGTTTTACAGGTGGCCCAGAGTCACCCTTGCAGGAGCTTCTAATACAATTAAGTTCCTATCCTTTAGTCTAACCTCAAAAAGCTCATTCTGCAATGGGCCAGAAAGTAAATACTTCAGGCTTTTCAGGATGGTCTTTGTTGCAGCTACTTGACAAAGTCATTGGCGTGTGAAAGCAACAAGAAAAAGGGCATGGTTGTATTTACATATATATGTATGTGTCTTTCTTTCTATATACATATATACTGGGGTGCCAAAAAAAGTATACACATTTTAAGAGATATTATCTATATACTACTTTAGTTAGCTATAATAAGAAATGTCTGAATGCTGATGGTAACCACTTTGTGATTGCAGAAGTCAAACATGACTTGTATGCATCTTTTGTTATTGGTATATATTGAATATTACAATTTTAACACAATTTTTTCTGTCTTAAAATGTGTATACATTTTTTTGACTATACACACACATACACACGCACACACACACAGAGAGAGATATTTATCTATAAAGGCCAGACTGTCTTTTTCTCATAGACCGTGTTTTGTCCGCCATATCTAGTCCTGTAATAGTCTTCTTTTTGGGTAGGGTATAGTAGACATAATCACAAAAGACAGATCCCTGGTTTACATGCTGTGAGTTGAGACATTAGTATGAAGCTTAAGTCCCCAGAAGTGCCCTTGTGTTCCTGCAAGATGACTCTGTGGAAAGGGAAAAGGCCCAGACCACAAGTGCTCTCTGAAGTAGAGCAGGCTTGCCATGGACAACGCACTCACCATGGGAGCACACATACCATGGACAACACACTCACCATGGAGAACATACTCACCATGGACAACACACATTCCATGGGCAATGCACTCACCATAAATAACATACATGCCATCAACAACGCAATGCACTCATCATGGACAATGCACACTTTGTGTTTATTCTGAACTAGTTTTTGGAAAATGTATACTTTGTATTTATTCTTAACTAGCTTTCAGAAACAGAAGTTTCATTGAGGAAATTCTGGGGTTGTTGAGAGTTCAGTAGCTATAAATGTTGAAAATAGGAGCAAATACCCTAATCCCCTGAAAGTCTGATATTAGTGCACACTTTGATGATGTGCAATGAAATGTATGTTGAAGATTCTTTCTTTCTGGGTTTGCCTACATGCAGCTTGCAGCTTGTTTGTGGAAGCAAATGAAAGCAATCATTCTGCTGTTGTTTAACAGCGTCATACCCTGATCATCTACCTGAGCAATTTTATCTGATGAAGATAATAATAGAATATGTTTTATCTCTGTTTTTGCTGTTTTCAGTACCTGGATCTAACAGAATATAAAGTTCTCTAAGGTTTAAGAAAGAATTACAAGAGCTAAAGAGAATTATTTTCATAAACCTTTTATTGGATTATTGATATTATGTTTCAAGCCTGTTTAATTTAGCAAAGAGTGTCAATAAGTAGGATTTAATCAGGAATATTTTTACTTTTAATCACTAAAACAATTTACTGGATAATTATAAAGCCAAAAATCTCAAAGTAAGTTTATTTATGGTCACTATAGTGTACCTAATACCAATTTATATGCTTTAAAATTTTGCTAGTTACTACAATTTTTATTGCTAACCAATTACATTGAACAACTTATGGGTATATTTTCATTCCCTTAAAATTTCAAGACAATTATTCCTCAAAAATTTTCTTTCTTGAAAAGTTTAGTTACATGATGTTTTAGGAAGAAAAGAAAGAATAGAAGCAACCACAAGGGACTCTGACTTTGTTACTTTATGGGGAAAACTCCAATGCAACAAATCAACACTGATTATAACTATATGTCAAGACAAGAAGCAAAAGACAGAGTATACCTTGCTTCCTGGAATTATGTAACATTTCTTATTTAGAAAAAGTGGTAGTGAGCAGTGCACACACAGATTTCCTAGTGATGCCTCAGTCTTCTCTGAGCACGTTGTTGTCTTCAGATTTCTTTCCCTTCTCTGTAGTTTAAAACCCATGTAAACTGAGAGTTCATTTTATGTCAGTGAATTGTGTAAATATAGGCACTGAAACTAATAGCTAACAAGGATCCCCTTAAGCCAACATGACAAGCTACTTTTCTTGTAATCCTGTACTCTGTGTCAGTGGTGCTTCATGTGTGGTTCTTCATGTCTGATTTGCTGACAATAATTAGAGAAAATAGTGAGCTATGAGAAGAGACAAGTCTTCTGACATTCATAAACAAATGTCCTCCACCTGTGTGTCTTCATAGACACATGTACAGTGTATACACACACACACACACACACACACACACACACACACACACACACACACACACACACCCCAGAGTTGCTCTGCTTCCATTCTCAATCCTGTGGTAAAAACCTGAGAGAGAAAAAATAGACAGAAGCACTTCAGTATGAAAGCATCCAGTGCCAAGTCTGGCTTGACTAGTGCCCTAGCTGTGAACACCCTGCCTTTGGAGCTAACACTGTAAAGAATGATTCTCTCAATGTGTGACTTTTTCTTATCTCTTCATTTTTTTAGTAACCCACATCTGCATAATTTTTATAGCTGTTTTTTTGAGGTTTACCAATTATGATGCTAGAATATGTTTACACATAAATGTTAATAATAAGCAGCAAACTTTCAACTCCTTCATTACTTTCCAAAACTACATTGAAGTTTTATCCTGAGGCCACATACTCAAGGAGATGATATTAAAGGTTTAAAACCTATTTTTATATTTTGCTTTCCTATATATGCTCTTAATCAAATTTCTCTATGACACAAGAAATGTTTTATTAGGCATTGCCTTGGATAAACTTTACTTCAGAAGTCAAAGAAGACATTATAACATCCCCTAGAGACAATGTTTAATGCCCTGAAAGTCAACCAATTACCCAGTATTCTCATGAAGGACTATAGAAAGAAATCATATGACATAATTGTATCCTTATTGTATAAAATTATATAAAAAGGTATTATTAAAATGTAGGTGTTATTTAAAATACCAGTGTTTTCCAAACACTGCCTACTTAATTTTCCTCTTAGTGGTTTATAGTGTACATTTTTGTTTCATAGGTTTTAGGGAGTTTGTTATGGAACAACTTCCTGTTTTTGTTTATTTTAATATGTAGCAAATTTATTTTTTTCTGGTTTTTTTCATAGGATCATTTATTAATATTTTTTAGAGTTCTTGAGGGCAAATTGAGAAAATCTCTTTCAACCAAAATTCTTCTGCCTAAATGATTTTTTTTTTTTTTGAGTTGGAGTCTCACTCTGTCGCCCAGACTGGAGTGCAGTGGCCGCTCCCGGCCACCGCAGCCTCAACCTGCTGGGCTCCGGCGATCCTTCCGCCTCAGTCTTCCGAGTAGCTGGAACTATAGGCGTGCGCTACCACGCCCGGCTGATTTTTTGATTTATTGTAGAGATGAGGTCTCACTGCCCAGGTAGGTCTCGAACCCGCGAGCTCAGGCAATCCACTCATCTCAACCTCCCAAAGGTGCGGGATTACAGGCTGAGCCACTGAGTCCGGCAAATGATTTTTTTAAAAACAGACAACTCTCAAATTCACTTCACAAAAGTCTATTTAGGGACAAATAAAATTAAGCATAAGATGTGTGTAGGTTGAAAAATATAAATACATATGGATAGTCAGGCTCTAACACACATTATTTTCAGAGAGCATCAAGGATTCTTGGGACATAGGTAGAATATTTGCATTGAGGATAGTTATTACACAACTGTCTTGTCCACATAAGACTGCAGGACTGTGGCTGCTTCTTGTGAACTGAAGGTGCATCGCTGCCTCCAGCACCTTCTCCATGATGGCCACTCAGCTTCAAGTGGTTCTGTTGTTTTTCCCTTTGAATGGACAGAATCATTCATTCAAAATGGCCTTAAACATATCTAATGCCTCCAAACTTGAAGTGTATAGAAAAGCTACTGCAGAAAAGAAAGTGAACTACAATGTTTGTATTATGGCAAATAACCTTTGTTGACATAATGAATTAGAAGTCATTCCAAAAATTGGTGCCGTTGATGAAGAACTGCCCATAAACACAAGGATGATTCTCATAATACAGAATCAGCACTTAATACTTCACAGTAATAAGTGCAGATGAAGATGTCAAGGTCATAGTTCTACAGATTTGTCCTGCATCTGCCCTACGGTTTATACTTAGTGTTGGTTTAAATATTCCCCCAAAATGTTTTTGCATGCAAGTGCAAAATATGCACTGGATGTATTAGCAGAGGTGGCATTTTGATAATGAAAATGCAGAAACAGTAGAAGCCAGGAAGATTTATGCTGTGTTTCTTCTGTTTATTTTTACACCTAAAGATGTTCATCTCAAAAATTTTCATGGAAAACAGAATTTTTTTTTCTTATTTATCATATGTCATCCATTTCTTTTCAGGGAGACAAATTTCAGGTGTCAGATATAAAATCAGGCTTTAAAAGCAAATGTGAGCATATTCCTAAAATTACTCTCATGTAGTATATAATTTTTAAAACTTTGTCAAAACCAACAATTTTCCAAGAGCATTTAAGTTTGTAACTTAATGTTCTGGCTTTTCCAAAGTCAATTTTCTATAGCTGGATAGATTTTAGTAAACAAACCTGAAGACCAAATTTGGTGTAAATGTGTGTGTTTGCCTTCTTTTATTGTCCCCTTCTAAAAGAACAGTATTATCATCAAAAGCAATTATCATTATTTTCTACATTCATAATTTGAAAGATATAATTTTATATTTTTATATTTTTATATTTTATATTTTTTATATTTTATTTTGAGAAAGCAGGATTTATTAAGAGGACAGA